CATGCTCTTGGGTGCTATGAGGCGGCAGTGCGCCCGCCGGAGGTCAGCCAAGGGCGACTGTGCAGACTTGAACACCATCTCAGAACTGAAAAAAGCACTACGGATGGGAGACTTTCAAAATCACAGAGACACACCCAGCTCCACTGACCTTTAGTTGAGAGCTGGGCACATAAGTGTCCTGAGGCCTTTGAAATTAGCCCTTCTTGGGATTTAGAGCCCAAGCCTCGCAGAGTGTGGTGAGGCCGTGGGGAAATGCTGTTCAGTAGCTGGCTCAGCAGATGCCTCCAAAAGGAAAACAAAGCCTAATGATATTTTACTACTCAGCTGCTAATTAAAATGCTGGTGTTTAGAGATTTAGGCCTACAATCCAATCAACCACTTAAAATCTTGTACTTCATTTTTTCGCATAATTAATCTTTCTGTAATTAAACTTGCCCTCAGGATATGCTTTCCTCTTCCTTTTCACAATGCTGAGCACCCACAGCCCAGAACAAACAGTATATTGCAACTGATGAATGCAGAAGAGCATAGGGGATAATCTGCCCTTGCTCCTTCTACCCCGATATATGACACTGGTCAGGCACAGAGCCAACATATATCCGTGTTTCTCCAGGCATATCCCTGTGTCTTCCAGGTGGATAGTCTGCCTGGAGGGAACCTGAAGACATGGTGCATTTCTCTAGTCCTTTTGATGCCAGGCTATAGCTGTGAGTGAGTCCCAACAGTTCCCTAACATATCTACCGCAGGAACAGATATCAACCTTACACACACGGAGCGGATCCTGTGCTTACAGCAGGTCCTGCGATCACACGGGCCTCACGCTGCGCGCAGGCAATACGCACAGTCTGCTTCACGGGGGACTGCGCTGTTGAGCTGCAAGAGCTCAGCGCCTTTGATTCATCCCAGACGAGCAGGATGCATTGCAGACGACCTGTGCTGTTTCTAGGAGATCCACAGGTTTGGTAATGCCTGGAAATGTTAGATTACACAGTGCAGACACGTGTGTTTCTATAGAGGGACCTGCAGCCATAACAGCAACACCTCTAGGGAGTGAAAAAGAGATCAAAGTTCAAGTACAAGTAAGCGTGTGACCTTGATAACCATCTGGGAAAGACTCACAGGCTAATACTACTTCCATTTAAAGGGGTCATTTGAATAAGCTGTAGGTGTGTAGCAATATGCCTTCACTTTTGAAGATGACAAACTGTGCATTCAGATAATTTTAAAAGTCAAATGCCCTTACAGAGAGTTTGTTGATCTGAAATGAGTTGTTACATAGAACTGTATTCACTTCAAATTTGCTTACAAAAGCTTTGTTCAACACTGACACATTTGAAGGGCAAGTAGAGGTAGTTTAATTGAGGTTTCTCCGCATCATTTTTTCCCTTTCCTTTTTTTACCCCCAGTACCTGTCTCAAAACACTCTGCCATACCCTTTTAAGACAGCACTTATCTTTCTTGGAAAGTCAGTTAGCAAGGTTTTGGTTGCAAAACACATGTTTTCAAAGTTAGAGAAAAATACATTTTTTAATCGTGAATGAGGCCTGCCAGACTGGTTAAATACAGATGGTATAATGTTATCTAAGTCACAAGGCTGACTCACTTTTCATCCAAATTGTAATTTGCCTTTAGGGTTCAAGCAAAGCATTGTTTTAAGAGTGGTGCAATTTTATGAACATGGCACTAGAGGGCCTTTGACGGCTCAGGGTTAGAAACAGCATCAAACTAACACTGTAGAAAAAAATACATGATTTACAATTTGTATTTACATTATATAATCACTTTCTGAGCCTAGGTGACTTTGTTAATCTTTAACTGCTTGACTGCTGGGTCCTTTCCTTCTGGCATTTCTGATGTTTCAGCGAGAAATTCTTTAAACAGTTCAGCAGAGATGGTTGCAAATGTTTTAGTGTTTAGTTGTGCTTGCCACAGAAAATGCTTAAGTATTCAATTCTATTGCTTGCAGGTTCTGAGATAGGTTTTAAAATTCCTCAGAGCCTGTGCTCCCAAGTCATGCCAGGTAATGGAATCTAAGGGGCTAGTTGGCTCAGACCAAAACTGTGTTAGGGACTGTCAAGTAGTTTAACGACAGGAGCCACGGCACTCCAGCACTGGAGAGCATGCCCCAGCACTGACTCTTTTAGGAGTTTAGATTTAGCACTGGATTCACAGAGCACTGAGGAAACTGTACAAAAACCCCTTCACTGGCAAAAAGTAGACCTTCCTAAAAGGCGTCCTCCACAAGGAGCCCTTCACATCTGGTTCCTCCTGTCAAGCTGGAGGATTGTACTAACCTAGGGCCAGAAGCACCACCAAAAGCCCCTGACAGGACAGGGAACAAGTGGAACCATTAAGCCCACTGCTCACAAACAGCCAAACAACATAAGCGTCCCCACAGATCTGGATGTAGACAGAAGTTATTGAATGAACCCCGTATTAATTCATTAATTTACTTTGAGGAGAATGAAGTGTTAACTGGAGGAGCTATCTGAAAAGGTTCAGCATTGTGGGAGAAGGTAGCAGAGATGATGTGTGTAGAAGTGGCTATGACTTGTTATAAACTTTTTGTTTAAAATATTATGAATAACTTCCCAAAAAAATCCAAGAGAAAAAGTGGCTCCTTTTAAACCCTGCAAAATAGTACAATAAAAATAAATGTTTGCAAAGCTCTTTTCCTCATCATCTACTCCACTGATAACTTTGGGCTATGGACCGGCTTTTATAGCACAACTTATTTCATCCAAGTAGAACCAGTATTCAGGTGAATGCTGAGCAGATAAAAACTGCCGAAAGTTTTCAGGTGATTGACGGCCAGTGAAGGACATAGCCTAAATCGGGATAACGGCAGCCTTCAGATGACACGGCCTATCCGTACAGCTGTGCAACCTTGCATTTTCCTTTCTCCCTTCAGTATATAACACATTCCTCCTGTAGGTGCTAGAAGATGTGATAGGTATTTCAGACTCGGACAATCCCTTCACAATGCTTGTGCTTTTACAAAGCTAAAATCACAAGACCTGGCAGCTCCTGGGAAGACGTTTCTCTCGACTTTTCTTTGAGGTGGGTCCTAACAAGGTAGGTGCCTGCAGGCCTCAGGTTGACTCTTGGTTCCCTGCTGTTAAGTAATCTCTGTGACAGTAACCCTGAGCAATTATGAATGAAGTACCCTGGGGCATTATTAATTTGTTAGCTGAGCATATTTTGAATGTGTTGAACTCCCTGTTGATAGTTAATTTCATTACTGCTGCTTAATTAATATAGACTAAAAAGTGGCATGGATAGTTCTCAACCTTGACTACGGCCATCATCCCAGGACAGAAGGGGCTGGGAAATGCGAGCCATATGCTGCTAGAATATTCTAATTACACTGATATAATAACCAGACTTCTGTCTACCTGGGCTCACACTCACAGGGGCACATAGGCTCTTAATTTCCTTGAAATCCCTTGCAGACCAGCACCTGAACACCTTTGTAGTTCTGTGCCACAGAGCAGGGACCCAGGCCTTTAGTTAAACATATCTCAGTCCATCCTATCTGGAAGCTGGGTGATACGAAAAAGGGCACCAAAATACAAAGAAGTCCGTATCTTCATGTGAGCAACGAACCAGCAAGTCCCAAGCTCTGCTGACTACAGGAGATGGAACGAAAAAACAGAGAGAGAGCACAGATCAGGCAGTCATAACACTGTCTGCAAAGGGAAAAGCAACGGGAGAACTCCAGATAACAGCCATTATTTCCAGGAGGCAATTGCTCAAATGATAAATTTTCAGCAAGTCACTGAAGTCATATTTGACATAACTGTACGTGGAGGACATCTTAATGAAGCTGGAAAAATAAATCTCTTTAGAAATTTTTTATAAGTAATGAAGGAGGAACCAGGCTAAGAGCAGTTTAATAGAATTTAAAACACCACTGTTCCAAGATGAGTTATTCCTGGGAATTCACTTAACGTTTCTGCTACGGGCTAATCTTCCCTGATTCTTTTGCAGAATCTTTCTCTGGCTCTCACTCCCCTAGCTCACTTCAATTCCAGCCCATGGTCCTAGATGAGATACCAGCTTTCTTCATTATAGAAGCATCACCATCTTGCAACAGGAAATCATCTCCAGAATATTCAAGTTTCAAAACTTTTTTTCTTACCTTTTTTATTTTTTTAATAGAAAAGATCTGTGAATGTTTAGTATAGGCTTAGTGCTAAAGCCTGTACTTTGATAGACAAGAGTTCTGCAGTTAAATCCCTGAAAACATGGAAGACGATCAGAAAATAAAAAAGGGAGCAAGTCTTCCCTCTAAACCAGGAAAACACTTTAAATACAGTAGAGAACTACCCTTGTTTGTACCCATGTGGTTTTATGTCAGGAAAATACTATCAGCCTAAATGCTCACTATGCTTTCTGTCATGACCCAGAAGCTATCGCAGCTGCTGCCTGCTTTTAACAAACTTCCAGATTTCTCTCTTGCTTGAAGCTTCTGTTGTCTATATTTTGGTTTTCCTGGGAATATTTGACAAACAGTGTCAGGAGCACTAAAGAAAAAAGAATGGACAGTTTGCTTGCACTTCTAGTAAAAATAAGCCTTCAGAAGTTTAGAAGAACTCAAATGTACAGCTTGCAGAGGAGTTTTCAGGGACTTTGCTTATTTGCTTATAGCTTTTTTTTTTTTTTTAAAACTGTTGCATGTTGCTAAGAACACATACTAACTGAGAGACACAATCAGACCAGTACTCAACTTGCCTAGTCACCTCTTTCAGATCTGACGGTATAGAGAGGGATTACAAGAATCTTTCCATTAGATTCATCTACTGAAGAGAGAAAAAAGGGTCTAAAAGCAGCAGTCACTAGGGAAACCCATGGCTCCAGCCTCCTCCATTTCCATACTGGGCTGCAGTGGGGATCCCACTAATGAAGGCAATCTGCCATTTTCAGAACTCTGTGTTGGTAGTCAGTTTGTTCTAAAACTGGCCACTGAACTAGAGGAGATCACAAACTACAGGCTTACCTTAGGGAGTCTGTACTTTTCTCTCAGATGAACCCTAAGACAGGCCCGCTCTGCTTTTTTCTGTGCAAACGCTGCGTCTCTTTCCATCCTGGGAATCAGAAAAAAACATTTCTTCACGATATTAATAAAATACGGTCTTTTACATGGAACCAGTTGCTTGGCTGCTGAAAGCTACACACAGGAGTTATTCCCAAAGTTATGTAACTGGTCCAAAGGCACACAAGGAGTGATATCAATAAAGTGATGCTAAGGGCCCAGACCTCCGGCACCCCAGGCTTGTTCTCAGAACAGTTCCCTTGAGTCTCGAGAAGAATGAAGGATAAGCCAATACTACTTGTCTGGAGTTTGTACCTGTACTAGCTGTTATTGCTTACTATAACAATGAGCAATTCCAATAAGCAGAACAGAAAAGCTACGCTTGTTCCTTGCTTATTCCACCGGGGCACTTACAGAGACGCGGCTGCCTGCCAATGCTCCCGTTCTACAAACATGACATTCTCATAGTGTAACACCACACACGCACAATGGCGGAATGGTCTTTCTGGGTCAGACCGGAAGTTTACCTATCCTAGAGTCCCATCCCCAACAGCAGAGGACACTTTAAGAGGATTAACATTCTGTATCAAAACTGCCCTGTAACTGTATTACGCATTTTCCCAAGAAACAGCAATCTCTGCATTTTTGCATGTTTAATCACCAAAAAAAAAAAAAACCCAAACCTGAGAAGAACCCAAAGTCAGGATGGTCACGCATCAAAGGCCAAACTCTGCCCGAGTATGATTCCAGCAAGGCACTTCTACTTTTCTGATCTCCACTCTTGTACAGCTGAAAACTGGGTCAAATCCAGAGAGCCCTGAAGCAGACGCTCTGCCCGTGGCAAAGATTTCTGACACACATTTACATAACCACACCAGTGTACTCAGCTAATTTTTTCTCTTTGAAAACACTTCAAATGTTCCTATTATAGTTCCAAACTGTATTTTCAGAAGTACTCCTGCACTGATTCCTCAATACAGCCCAGCATGTAACGGACACATGCCACACTTGAAAACATTATAGAAATAATTCTTTTTCCAAGTGTTTTCCCTATCCCAGGAATCCTATTTTGCTTCTCACTCTCAATAAAGCATCTTCCTGCTGCCAAGTGGTTATTTCTCTTTTAAATATCCCTTGACAAAATGCATAGCAGAACATTCCGTATTTTGTTCCAAACCAAATTATACCTATTCAAGGTTTTATGATAGAAATGGCTGCTGCTAAATACAGACTCGGATACCTCAAATTCCATCAGTCATTAACCTTTCACCTATAATCATCTTACATGAAGGATTTACACAACCATTACGTAATTGACCATTACAGGAACAGATGCATTTGAGATTTAGAAGTCAATTGTTTTGTTTATAATTATGCATGATGTGAACTCCTACATGTTAAGTCCTTTATTTTACTTCTGTTTTGATATTTAAACACAGCAAGTGGTAAAGATTATAATTACAGACAAAGTAAAATTGAGATTTAATCAGTTGAAAAGTTCTGCTTTATTTAGTAGATTTTAGAAAAAATAACTGAAAATGCAACTACAAAAAATAACCATGTTAAAACTTTTCTCTAGATAAATATAATCCATTTAACATAGCACTCAGTACTTTTTCATGTCTGCCATAATAAATGTGGACCAAGAAAAGATTATGTATTGAAAGTGTACTCCACATGGAGCTCTAGGAGAACAAATCATACATGTTTTAGAATTAACTCCTGCAATACAAACGGCATTGTACCTATGGAAAAGTTTTATAAAGTAACATCAACTAGGAATGAATGCAGCACATCAGGGTGTGGAGACAGCAGGAAAGTGTAGGAGAGAGTTGCAGGATGGAGGGGCGGGGGGAAGGGGGAACATAATAGTTTATCATTTCCAGTTGGTGAACTTTTATTTTGGAAATTCCCTTTAGCAAAGATTTTTATGCTTTAAGAAAAGGGAAAAGAGGTGAATGTTTGGCTTTTTCTTGGGTTATTTTTATCTGCACAAAGTTACCAAGAATCAGCCCCATACTGATAATAAGGGAACAAGTACTCACTTCTCCTCAACCACTTGCTTTTGATATTCCTCATACTCCTCTCTGGTCATTCCTGCAGCTGCTGCTGGATCAGAAGGAGTGCTTTCTTCTTTGCTTTCTTCCCCTCCACCTCCAAGTCCCAAATTCTTTACCTGGTTGCTCAACATACTTTTCATTAGAAAGGCCATCTTCTCAAGAAAAAAGGAGCTATAAACAAACAACTACAAGAAAGACAAACCAAACCAAAAACGTTTTCGAAACCAGCAATTGTAAGCAAGAGAGTTTCTACAGCCACACCAGCTCTTCAAGGGCACAATGCTAGTGAAACGTGAATGCCAAAACCAGTTTGTCAGCCATAATCTGGATTAAACAGTGAACTCCTTAATATCTAGAGGCAGATGGTTCAGATTACTCCAAAAAAAATCATTAGATGCAGCTACCTATTTTTTATATTAAAACCTTAAGCTAATTGCACACACACAAGAATCAGTTACAGTGTGCAACAGCATTTTGACTTCTTCAGTCTTGAAACTCTCACTTTCACAGAGATGAAAACGTTCTCTGGAACACAACGGATCTGAATTACAAATCTGGTTGACTAAATGGCCATAGTAAAATCATAAAATTCGGGCTACTGAGCAGAAAACCCTTTTGGATTTACACAATCAAATGAGATTTGAAAACTAGAATCCTTCATTAAGCAAAAAACCTAATCCTTTTTATCCATTAATATTTTATCACATTGGACAGAAAATACATTGAATGATTTTTCTTCATCCACTTTTCATATGGTTGGTTTGACTCACAGATGAATGGGGCATTATGGCTATCATTACTTTTTTTTCAAGGAAGTAATCACAAAAAAAGCAAATCACATCTTCCCGCTTTTCATTCCTTAGGGTTTGTTTCAACTCTTCCCCAGGCTGTCTCCATCTAGATCACCACTTTGACTGGTGCTGCACAGAACACCTCGTGTTTTTAATCCTAACTGTCAGTAAAGGAGAAATGAATCTGACTGATTCTATATGCTATAATATAGCCTTGATATATTTTGTTTCGTATAATGCAGCCTTGATATCATTTGTTTGTGGACTGCTTGTGTAGATCCTCATCTTTCAAACTTTTATTCGCATCATTAGCCTCACCAGGTCTATTCAGGTGAAGATTTGCAGGATCTGCTACCTAGATCATATACTATTTTGGGACAGAAAACCATCTGCTAGGTCGCAAAAGTTCATCATTTTGGGTTTTGAGCATTTATCCTACTATGACTGCGCATGCCTTAATGAAACATTCTGTAATTTTGATTATCTAAATGGTTCTCCCAGCACTCTCATAATTTCACTGAGAGATGGGAGGATTCCAGTCTGCCTAATACCTTAATCTGTATCACAGCCTTTCTAATTAAAGCAGACCTGTTACTATTACAAAAAAAAAAAAAAAAAGCAAAACATTCTGTAATCCTGGATTATTAGTGATTAAACAAGAAACTTTAAATTTCCTTTTAAAATAGAGTATCAGTCAGAAGCAAGAACTCCAAATCACAACAAAACTACTTTGATATACTACAAATACCTAGAAAGCATTTTTCTTAAATAAAAATTGATTTTTATAATCACTGTGCACTTTCAGAACTATGCGTAAATTGAAAGAATTTGTGGGAAGAATCAACTTTTTACATCTGACCAACTCTGACCTTGATTACCAAAACTCTATTGTACTTGCCCAAATGACTAACACAACTGAGATCATAGACATTAGATAGCTAATCCCAATTTAAGCAGAGAATGCTAAACTTGAGCATGCATTAGTCTGAAGTTGAATGAATAAAATTAAATAAAATTTGTTATTTAAAAACTAAAAATCCAGAATTAAGTTTATACATAAGGTATCACTGCTCCTATCTCAGAGAGCTACTTCAAAATAGGCTTGGCAAAGTCAGTCTGACTTTCTGTTATGCCCAAAGACTTCCCTGGTTCAGTTTGCTGCCCCTCTGAGGCATTCAAAGGGCAGAACTGCTGCCGGCGTCCCTTATTTCCCACCCTTCTGCATTTTAGAGAGGGCTGTGTTTGCTCAGAAGAGCTGACACCTCGCTAGGGCTGTGGGCCCGCTGCAGGTCAGCTGTAGCTGTGCAGGCATGACCCGTGCCATTGCTGTATCATTGTGTAGGTATCACCTGCTAAGTGCTGTCCAACTCTGCTCAATGATGCTTTTATACCGTTTTCCCAGCCTGGGGACAATACGGACAAGCAGAGATGGTTCTAACCTGCAACCCTTTTGCCTCCTGCTTAAACCGAGAAAGACCTTGCTCATTTTGCTGGTATTTGAAAAGTCCTGCTAACAGGCCTAATCTAGCATCTCTTTCAGGAGGAGAGTCTTTGGATGAGCAGTAGTGGCAACCCCATGACCCAGAACAAGACCACAAGAGCCCCTCTCTTTTATGCAGTCAACTTTAAAAGGAAGAAATTAAAATAAAGGGTTATTTCTAGAAAATTATTTAAGTTAAATACTGCTCCAAGAACAAGCCTCTGGAAAAAAAAAAAACAAAAACCAAACCAAACAAACAAAAAAAAAAACCCACAGACAGTCCCTAGTTCCTGAACTACAGCCTGACTCACATACGTGACTTGCCCCACACTCCTCAGAACACAGTGGATCTCAAGAGCGGGAGACAGAAAATCTTAAGTGAGGGGTGAAGGTGCTTGGTCAATTCAGTCCAGAAATAGATGGTGGCTACAGAAAGAGGGCATCACGACTTTGGATAAAAGTTTTGGTCTTGCTGACCTTCGTATCCACTGCTTACAACACAACGCTAACAACAGAAACTGGCAAGGTGGACATCAGAAGTTGGAAGAGCATCTTCTCAATCTGCTTCATCTCCATAGCCAAGCTGTATCTTACACAAGTCCATGGCACGAACAGGGCCAAGAAATACTGCATGAACCATGTACAGATCACAAAGAGGTTTTCAGCAGCTTGCAAAAACCATTGAACATGTTAAAGTAATATACTGGCACTGTTTATGCACTGATCTTAAAATGCCCGTGAGTTCAGTTAACAGTACAGTAGGCATTACAGAAAAGCATCTTACAAGAGAAGTTTAAGATCAGATAAACAGAACTTTTGGTTGTTAGCATCTTCTCTGTGCTTTGACAGCCACCTGATTAAATGTTAGAATGCTGTCCCACAACATCTCTATTTAGTGCCAAACGCCCCTCGAGTTCACTTGCAGTGGTTGGCTCATCTTTAGTTAAAATTCTCCTAACTGGAACAGGGAGCACCAGTTTTTTCCTGGTTCCCAAAAACTGACCAGTTTTTGTCGTATTTTCCTGTACTGTGCACTTTGAAAATACAACACGCAGCACTGATTTTTCCAGCATCAGGTCTCATAGTCTTCTCCAAGTGTATGGGAAGTGTATCTGTTAAACTTTGTGCTATCGGTCTTCACTGAAGAGAAGCTTCCCTAACTTCGGGCACAAGTCTTGGCTGTAGACTTTGATCCTTACAGAAATGTTGCTAACATCACCTTCTGCCTAAAAGAGATGCTTTCACAGAATTGACCAAGGCAGCAAGAAAGCTGAAAACTGGCTTGGGAAGGGATTGCTGAGAACCTGAGAGATCTTGCCCTCCAGGTCTTGAGAGAGGTCTCATGAACCTTCCTAACAGCAAAAGGCTTTCCAACATTAGATTCAAAATTGAAGATAACAAAAAGTGCCTTAAAAGTTACTGGCCTTATTAGCACTGGAAACTGCTGAGAAACACAAAAGAGACTAGTGACAAAACTCTGGAAGACCCTACATAGCTAGCTAGTGAATTGCTCACTTCATTGTGGGTTTAGGTATTTATCACAAATCTGTGTATACAAATAATGAATCAACACTCAGACTGATAAGGAACCAACTGCTTAGAGAGTACCTAAACATCAAGTTTTGAGCACCTACCTTGGGTGTCAACAAGGAACAGCACCTCCAGAATAATTCCCGTTCCTGACAGATGCTTTAACTACTGCCTATATATTGAAGTTACAAACCACTTAACTGCTTTTTGTTGATTATAGGGATCAGAGGCTTAATGAAAACATACAGACAGCTGCTAATTAAGTACTCATGTTACCACTTCTTTTGCTTTAAATCAACATCCTTTCCCTCTAGCTTAAGTGAAATCAAAATTAAATTAATTCCTGTTTTATCTGATGGAACTGGGCGACATGAAAAAAGCCCGTGTTCCATACCCAAAGAACGCCTGCACCTCTAACCCCAGAATAGAATTCAGTCTTGAAACAAGCAAATCACAAAGAGCAAAATCTAAAAGCCTCACAGAGAGGCCAGCACAAAAATGCTATAGGCAGGCAAGCATCCAAACTCCCAGCCTTTTCTAGAGACTATGTTCCCAAAACACAGTCACAGCAGACAACTCCAACCACATAATTCAAAAGTATCTAAGTGTTCTTTGAAAGGACCAAGACTCTCCCCCCGCTTCATCCATCTGGAAGAGGATGTTGCCTTTTATATAAGTCAGAACATTAGATCACTTGCACAGAAAGAGAGAAATAAATATTTTAGGGCTTTCTCAGCTTGAATAGATTTAATTGGAAGATTCTTCTCCTCCACCTATTAGAGAAATTGCTCTTGGCTGGGGGAAAATGATGGTCAACGAGGAAACTCTTACTCTTCCTGTGGGAGGCTACCACAGACAAACACAGTTTACTGGACAGAACAGTAAAAAACAAACAAACAAACCAACCAACCAACCCCAAGGAGACATGGACTTACTTGTTTTGGGTAGGTACGTTATATTCCAACAAACAGGAGCAGAGCACCCAGGTGACAGCTGTTTGGGGAATCTGGAGAAAGATCTTCAGAGCTATAGCCAATCTTCAGCTCAAAAAAGGTACTTTGTATACTCAAAGCAGCCAGCAAGCAACTCTATTTGCTGTTAAGAGACTTAGAAGTTGACATACAACTTTACATTTGACCCTAAGTGTCTGATACTCAAGGCAAGTCTGATACTCTTTAACACAAGCTTTTGAGTGCATCTCTTACTTTGAGGTTAGAGTTACTCTTGCATTAGACTGCAACACAGAGGATATAATCCCTTCGCATAGAATGAACTGAGGCTGGATTCAGCATATCTTTCTAACCAATGGCAGTCATTGGCCTCTTCAATACAGGTGGAACCTCAGCCTCTGAATGCCGTTAACTCTCCAGTATCAGGTAGGACTGAACCCAGATCTCAAACCGTTCAAACTCTCTGAGCAACAGAGGGTAAAGAATGCATCAAATAAACTTGCTTGGGTTTCATTGACATGTACCAAATTAAAAGAAAAAAGCTTACTAAAAATATGCATCTTTATTCAAATAAGGTTATCTCTGAACTCCAAGTGTCAATTCACATTAGTCAGAAACAAACATATGAAAATGTCAGCTGTTTGAATTTGAAAAAAAAACAACAGTAGACAGTCTTCGGTGTTACAGTAATTGATGCATTGATAAATGTCAAATTTTCCTCAAACAGGAATTTAGGTAATTTACAAACCATATTGTGAATTTTACTTTTGAAAAATTCAGGTGTGACCATGTATTTAATATACCCTGACCAGTACAATGAGATTCTCTTGTCCCTGCCAAATATTTGCTACTTATCATCCACACTTCAAATACAATCACATTAGACTTTTCTCCCCCATATTGTCAAACCAGATTCCAAGGTGTCTTCTCCTCCTAGTCCTGAAATCTTACTTGATAAGAACCAAATAGGTTGTCAGTGCTGAAAGAAACTTCTAGTAGCCAGCCATAATAGGAGGCTACATCAACTGACAAATATTCTTAAAGTCCAAATTTGTTGCTATCACTTCAAGAACAGACAGGGCAAAATTTGAGCTGGGCAATTGGGAGCTTTCCTTTGATCCAGTGAGTGACGAGGCAATTATGGAAGTTCCAAGGAGAAACGACTGTGAAATGAAGCATGAAGCAAAGTTATCACTTTTTGGATGGTACGCTTTAGACCTTCTGCTCCCTAATACAAAAGTTTCCTAGTTGCACATGGGAGGTATGTCAGATCTATTAGCAACATAAACACACAAGCTGAGCCTCATACTGAAGATACAATTGTACGTTCAAGTTTTCCCCTTGACACCATCCCCAGCCTTCTCTTCTTTCTAACAAAAGACACAAAAGTATGGGCTGCTCCAGCTTTAAAACAAAGTTATGGTTGGATAAATATTCACAGTATCAAAAAATACAGGCTTCCTCCAACTGATACATTAGAGCTGTTCCTCATTATGCCAGATACATGCACCTACCTATCAAAATACAATTGCTAGCCTTTCTGTATAAAGGGTCTTGCAAAGCCTGCTGTGAGAGAGGGAGCTCTGTTTAGGTGTTGCACTGATGCAGGAAGGCTTGCAACTGAAAGGAACAACTGTACCTTTTCAGAACAATTTAAGAAAATATATTGTTTAGTTAGAAGAGTCACGGTTGTAACAGCTTAGACTCAAGGCACCTGTAAATATTTGCTGGTGTTGAAAGAACTGAATGGATGAATTCCTATGTGTTATTCTGTCTTATCTGAAAAGTTTTTTTCATTGATTTACCATATTTATCCAGCAAGATTAGCTTGAGATAGAAGTTTCTCCAATTAGTACAGCAAAATCTTCTCAAATTTAGAAATTAATCTATAAAGCTATACCACTTACAGTATATGACATACTGTAGCTATGTAAATAGGTGTGTAGGTAGTACCGTTTTATTGGTGTAGCACAGTGTAGTGTAGTCCACTTTTTGGACACTGTATTTTAAGTAGCAAAATATATTGCATAGATTTATCATTTCTCCAGACTGACAGGCACAATACTGAAGTGTTCTTCATTACAGCGAATTTGGCAGTATGTGTTGCACTCCAAGGGAGCAGACTGTAGGAATGCAGTAGTAGTATGCTAGATTCCAGATAATTTTTGCAGAATCCAACAAACAGATTAACAATTAAAAGTCAAATATCCTAATGCATTTGTGTATTTTATAGAATTAAAAAAAAAAAAACCCAAACCAAAAAACCAAACCCCGCTATTCTAATTCTACACACAATGAACTCAAGGACAAAAGTTACCACAGATATGTAAACAAGGCAAAATGACTTCATTTCACATTCCTAATTTGGGCTACCTGCTTTGTTTCTTTCCTGAAGCAAATGTTCACCTGATAAGCAGTATCAAAAACACATGTTCAGTCTTATGCTTTTGATATTAAAGCAGGAATTGACACACAGAATTGGTTCTACAATAGCTGCTGGATTAACAAACATGTCTGAAGCAACAGCTTGTGAAGAAATGGGTTAATACTCAATATCTGTAGTCTAGAATACCTGCCATGTCAAGATTTAAATCAAAGTATCTGTATTTGATACATGAAAGACAAGACAGCTTTATAAAGGTAAAGACATATTCCTACGCTAAACACATCCTTAATAAAATCAGATTTGAAGAGGTATAAAGCAATGATATCTTTGCTGAAAAATGTTCCACAAATCTCCAAACAAAATTACAGACAGACTTGAAACTTGAAGAAACTACTTTATCATGTTTTCTCTCACTGCCTAAAACCAAAACTCAAAATAAGGAGATAAGCCTTTATTTGCTGGTTCTGTATCGTTTGTTTTCCATATCAGGTATCAACAGTCAAACTGTTAAAGGCCTGTCTTTGTGTCCACATATTAAAAAGTGCTTAAATCTGTATTTCATGAAGAGTTAGAATTAACTAAATAATTCTTAAACTGTTAAATCCAAGTGGTAAAGAAATGAAATGTTTATAACAAATTTTCACCCCCTCCAAAAAAATAGAAGAGCAGTTGTTTGGGTTTTGTTTGTTTGTTTTGTTTGCTTGCTTTTGTTTTTTTGAACTGATATGTCAGGACACTTAGTGGCAAGCTTTCTGTACAAATCATCCATCTGCAGTTCTCACTATGAACAACCACCAAACCTGGGTGTTTCAATTCCCTCCCCTGGAATCTTAACAAAAGAGGAGGAATACAACATTTGCCTTCCAGCATTTACGAGAAAGTTAGCGGAAAGCATAGCCTTGGATAGGGTCCGCAGTCTTCCCCTATCTAGCATTTGCTCCACTGCTCCCCAGTCTGTTTTTAACTTCAGCATTAACAGTTCAAATGAGAACCCATTTTGTTTAACAAAATTCAATAATTTACAATATTGAAGTATATCAAATACTAAAATTTCCCTCATTTACAGAAGTGTATAATTTTCTGTGCATACATACTGCTGTCATGTACACACAAAAGGAACAGGTCATCAAAAGAACTTTTTGGCTGCTGCTTCTTGTTGACTCCTGAAAGAAAAAGCAGAAGAGAATTCATTAAATACTTATACTATAAAACTAGCTAACGGGTTTAAATAAATAAATAAATAAATAAATATTTCAATTATTTGAGGATTAAAAGATTCCGTTCCATGTCAACAGAGACTTAGGGAAATCAAACATAAGTCATATCACAAAAATAGGATATAATTTTTTCTATTTACAAAGACATTGGTAGCACCACTATAGTTCCAATTTTGCATCAGATACAGAAGGAAACAAAACATTCTGGACAGCAGCCAGAAACTGTGAAAGAACATATGAACTGATTTTTAAAATACTTTAACTAAAATTTTCTAAAGCTTCTCAGTATCTGATTGGCCTAAAGATCAGCATAGAAAAGGAAACACATGCAACTAAGCAGTGAAAGAATTTACTTGAAATGGGATTTCCTTTTCTCTGGCACAGAACATACTTATTTTCTTAGTGGATACAGATACTGTGGGTCAACCACAAACAGATACTAGAATTACAAGGGCATCAAAAAGAACTGGAGGGGACCAGCTCCACATTTGTCTTGGAAGCCATCTTTCCAGCTGATGGCATAACATGACATACATAAAAAATGCACTCTCTCCACTTTGTAGAGAAGCAGACACACAATAAAAGTTAGTGCTATCAGCAGCACTGGTCTTGTATTAATACTAGTTATCCTTCCACACAGGTAGCAAACAGCATTTCCTCTTTGAAGGGCAATGCAGCTATTTTGGTCCCTACTCCTTATCCTGATTAGTGTACGTGAGAAGCAAATGAGTCCTTACTCTCAATAGGTTTTCCTTTCCAACAACGCAAATTTAATTTGATCATGATGAGATTACAAAGAGGAGGAAGAGAAGAGAGAAAACATCCCAACTCGTTTAGGGAGGGGCGGGGCGGGGGCAGGTGGGGAAGAATTCCGTACACTATCAATATCATATGTAGGAGAGGGATGAAGGGATATGTATTGTAAAAAAAGTTCACTGAGGAATTTGTAAGATGGGATAAGTAGCTTGTAGGTACACATAGAAAAAAAAAAAACACATCAGATTTTGTTAAGGTATTAATAAATTTCAGTAAATCCAACAGAGGACCACAAGGATGGTGGTCAAGAGCGGGGAAGAAATCCGTACACTATCAATATCATATGTAGGAGAGGGATGAAGGGATATGTATTGTAAAAAAAGTTCACTGAGGAATTTGTAAGATGGGATAAGTAGCTTGTAGGTACACATAGAAAAAAAAAAAAACACATCAGATTTTGTTAAGGTATTAATAAATTTCAGTAAATCCAACAGAGGACCACAAGGATGGTGGTCAAGAGCTGAAGCACATGCTTCAAGAGAAGAGAGGGAGGGAACTGGGCTTGTTCCTCCCGGACAAAAGAAGGCTTCAAAGGGTCTAACAGCAGCTTTCTAATACCCACAAGATGTCATTGAGGAGACAGGGACAGTTTTACAGAGATTAACATTATAAAAAAGAGACACAACAGGGCAGGTTCCCAGTAGATATACTGTGCAGGTGGGGGGAGAATAAAACAAACTTGATTATGATAATTAAACATTTCCAATGGGGTCCATAACAGTGGTAAATTTTCCATTCTTAGAGGTTAAGACCTGACCAGTCTAAACACTAAGCAACCTGGTCTGAATTCAGTGTCGACCCTGCTTTGGGCAGAAGATTGAACTAGAGACCTCCCAAGGTCTCTTCCAATCTGAATGATTGCTTGTTTTAAAGAAGATTAACATAATCATACCACTGCAATTGCATTTCCAGTCAGAAGTTCTAAAATCATTTTCCCTGTTGTCTTTAAACATACTTACCTATACATGATATAACCAATGAATAACACTGTTTGCACCGCTACAAATATGAAGAAGTGCATTGTAGATAAGCATGATGGAAACGGTGGCAAGTCTGGACACTTTGATTTCTCACTAGATGGCTAAAAACCAAGAAAAACAATACTTGAGAAAAGAGCAAACAAGACATGCCATCAAAAGACTGTTATATGTCAGAAACAAAACAAGGTCTTTGCAACATGATCTAAAAATCAAACACAAGCAGAAAACAGAAGTGACACCACTCTGAAAAATCATAACCTTACTCCCCGTCTCACTTTCCCCTTTCACCTTTATGTTTCTCAGATAAACTGACTGATGTTAATTTGAGAGTTATAGGGGAAAGAATAAATCTTTGGTAAATTAACCCAGAAATCAAGAACCTTCTATAGGATCATAAGCTAATTCAGCTTAATTGCTCCCTAGGCTAAACTAAGGTGCTCCTGAATGTGAACACAGTCATCTTTCACATGTAGAGACCTTGAGCGGAGCCTGCCCAAGTTTCCCCTGATGAAAGCTCTCCCTTCTGTGCAGAAGCAGTAGAGAATCTCCTCTGTATAGAACTGTTAAGTAGGGGGACAAACACAAAAAAAGCACCAAGAAAACCTAAGTGCTTGACCTTGTTTCCACAGGAAATTAGACTAAAAATCATGCTCTTTGTGCAAAACTTCTCATCAAGACACAGATCATGCAGTTAGGTCAAGGCAGTGCAGTTTTAGCGAAGCAGCTTAATGAAGGATTAATTGCTCTGTAAATTGCATGCTGGCTCATCCTAGCTTTTCACTAACAGCCAAATAAAGAAGCACTACAGTCATGCTTTACACTACCAGCACATAAATTACCATATTTCGTTGTACTAAATGCTCAATGTCCCTCTTTACTACATGAAGGTGTTCTTTGATGTCATTGAAGTGCTGAGTTGTTTCATAGACTCCTGCGGCAGAGCCAGGATGTTGAGCTCCACTGATCAACCTCAGAGTATCAGCCATGGAATTTCTGTAACAAGACAAACAAGAAAACATCTTTCAGCACAGAACAGCTTTTCTACAACAGCAAATTCTGGACACCTTTTAGTCCATTAAAATTAATTTGAAATACACAGTTGCCCCAAAAGGCAGAAAATATTTTTTCTAGCTTCCAAGAATACCTATCAAGAAATAATTCCTTGATCAAACTATGATTTTTTTTTTTTTTTTTAAATATTGAATTCCACAGACAGTTTCAATTTGTGCAGTGCACCATCTCCCAAAGTCATGCTGAAAACAAGATCTGGCAAATATTCTATTGCTAGACATCTGCTTTGCCTGACTGATGAAGCCTAAAACAAATGTTTTATCTGAGGCTCTTGCCAAGGCTTTAGGATAAGCAGAGTTTAATGCAATCTTTGAAGAAAACCAAAAGCTGTTTGAAAAATAAATAAATAAAAGCAGTCATGTAAGAAATAAAAATAAAGAAGAGGCTTTAGGGATAAGAAAAGATTTAGATACATCCTTGTTTCATGATTATCATTTATACGAGGAACTCATTTCCCATATGCATTGTCATAATACTTAATATTGTCTTCATGTGAATTCATTTTGCTTCTACAACAAATCAAATTAAATCCGTAAAAAGTTGAGGTTCCATAACTAATTCTGTTTGAGGTAAACTAGTCAATGAGAGAAAAATATTTAATCTCTAATCAATATGTTTATATAATTTTCCCCTACTGTGATGTCTCTTTTCAGTTGCAAAGAGGATTATTCTGCAGCTAAAATATTTATCATGTGAATGTTAATCTCTTCATTATTAACAGAATAAACAATCAAAATGTATGTCTTTGGATTTCTTTTTAATTTACTTAAAACTTTACATTTTGTTCAGATGAGAGCTTACTTTGATGCCTTCAAGGTAAAATCCTAACTCTTTGTACAGTGGTCAGCAATTTATCATAGTATCATAGAATGGTTTGGGTTGGAAGGGACCTTTGAAGATCATCTGGTTCAACCCCCCTGCCATGGGCAGGGACATCTTTCACTAGATCAAGTTGCTCAAAGCCCCATCCAACCTGGCCTTGAACACTTTCAATTGTAACTTTTAAATTGAATTCACAAAAAAAAAAAAAAAAAAAAAAAAAAACAAAAAACAGAACTGGCTTGAATACTATCCATTGAGTAAACTGGCAACAACAATGTATAACCGTATTTCTAGAGTGTTATACAAAATTATATTACTGATTTTTAAATGGCTCATATTCATTGTGAAAATGGCAAGTTAAGCATCAAAACTTAAATGTTTACGAATAGTCTTCATGAAGATGTTGCCTATCTTTTAGCTTTGCATCAGTTGTTCTTCCTGCCATTAAAACTCAAAACCCACAGAACTAAAAATAAAATAAAACAGGAGAAAAGAAAAAACTAGTAAGGTACATATCTATTCAAAGGCACTATGACAACTCTCCAGGAGTAAAAATTGCAAGCATAGGTATGCTATATTAGCGTTACAGCAGCTTTCACTCCATTATAAGAACTATGCAGCATGTTTAAACTACTTGAAGCAGCTACTAAGTCAAAGCCACACACTAAATTAATCTACACAATTATATCAAATTGCAGATACGCCACTTGATCAAAGAGCCATTTAGTAATTACAGCCCCTACTAAATGCTGGATTAACAATATACTTTTCTTCAAACTGAAGACTACCTGTTTTTCTTAAAAATATCACTTTAACACAAAAGTCAACTTAACGTACTAGACTACCAGTATTCTGCATACTTTCCACATAACCCAAAAAAATTCTTTTCACTTCCAGTAACAAAAAGATCCAAGAATTCACCCTTTCCTGTCGTCTTTGTAAAAGCTCAATCCCACTTCCAGCACATGTTAGAAGATCCATCACTTTCCACAGCTACATTTCCAGTTATTCCAGGTAACGTACTACACTCTAGGCCAGATGAAGTTAGCCATGGACTTCTGCAAAACTCTCAATGCTTACCTCAATAAACTCATTTTTAATATTGCAAAGTTATCAAAAGGAGTTACCAAAAGCCAGCCACTGCAAACAAAACTAATCAAAGAAGCTCTCACCTTCTCTCATTCTACATTTCTGGTTTGGAACTTATACATACAAAATGAATGCAAAAAAACCCTCATCTGTCCTAACTTAAATTAGCATATACATTATCCAGAAATTATTTTCTATTTTTGTATTGTCATTGTATAGATTATTTAAAGTAAATTGATTAATATTTACCTGTACTTTGAATTAATGTTATAATAACCTATTTTAGAAGTAAACTTTTCACCGGAAGATTTTTTTCTTAAATAACCCATGCAAACCCATGCAACCACCATCATGACCACGGCCTAATAAATGCTGATAGTAATTCTGTCTATCCACATCCATCACATTGTTTACCTTGCCCCACTACTTTCAGTGCTAGAACATGTGTGACACTCATTCTGTTCCTCTCCCTCCTAGTACCACCATCCCTACATAATTAACAGAAATCTGCACGCCCACCATCCCCCAGACTGATCCACGGTTTGTTAAAAGCAAAATAACTTCCCTAAATGGATATGGTCTGCATCAAATTTATTGTACATTTACTTTTGCATGAACAATACCATGCTGACATTTTCTATTGTATGAACATGCAAGATTCTTCCGTAATCAGACGATTAAGAAATCCACAAATCTTGACAAGAAAATTACTTAGACAGTAAGTCCTTTTCCTCCGGGATGACCAGCAATGCAACAGCGGGCTGTTCATTTCTATCTATAAATAAAGCATTTCTTTAATCTAAGAAAAATATTAAGATGATGTTACGCAAACTCATACCTAATAAGTAGTCACTAAAAGGGCAGGCTGCCAACGTTAACAAGAAAATCTAATTGACTTGCAAGGTATAAAGATTTGTCAAGAATATTAACATAAAAGCTTTCGTGGAAGAACAAGTGCAAAAATGGAAGCACTCTAATCTTCATTCTACAAAAAACTGACCTACTTAGATAAATCACAAGAGCTGCCCTTGAACTAATACAGGAAAAAAACCACAACTGCTCATACGCTACAACATCAAATTGTAGGAATTGTTTTTCTCCTTTTTTTAAGCCCAAGGTAAGGAATGTATTAACTACTATAAATGAAGGGTTAAACGAACTTAAAGACAGTCTTGCTAAAGACAGAAATTGTAAAACATCTTAGAAGCAGTACACAGACATCCCTATCAAACACAGGAATTTTCTCAAATCCATTTTAGCAGTATAGCGTCTCCAAGATAAGATTTTTACTTCATTTGGTAACATAGTTTGAAAAAGTACCTCTCAATCGATTTTAAAAACTGCATCTTAAAAAGCGAAATTATTAATCACTTGGGAACTTGCAAGTGTCCCTGCAGACACAGAAGTTCCCTGGGAAAGTTAACTGGCAGAAAGTTCTCTGACAAAAAAACCCAAACCAACCAAACAAAAAAACACTCCCAGGAGTCTTAATGTAGCACAGTTAAGATTCCAAAAAGTTATCCAAGATTCCCACACAACACAACCAGGCAAGAAAACAGGTCTGTAACTGTCAAAGTCTCCTTGAATGTGACTATCTTTTGCTACAAAAGACATTGATATATCAGTTGATAGGACTGGTTTTCACACAGTAAATAAAAATTGGACCATAAAATATTCACACCCTTAGAATAACAAAAGTATTTTTTAAGTAAGAACACGTGGCCCATGCGTAAAGAACAAACAGGCACTCCTATCACAGGAGATTCTAAAAATGTTTTCCCATTTTTCTCTAACCTACAAGAAATAGGGACAAGATTACTAAAACAGTCTACACAATACATTGGCACGTGAAAAAAAACCAACACATTTCTGTCTTCACTACACAAGTGACAGTAATTTAATATTAGAGTGCTCCCCCCCCCAAGTGCCGTCAGACAGTATGTCTTACCACCTAACAAACCAAGGAATTTTTAGTCACAATTGGGTTTCCAGTATCTCCAAGGATGGAGACTGCAAAACCTTCCTGAGCAACCAACCTATTCCAGTGTTCAACCACCCTCATAAGTTTCTTTTCTTATGTCTACACAGAATTTCCTGTATTTCAGTTTGTGCCTGTTGCCCTTCATCCTGTCACTGGGTACCAGTGAGAAGAGTCTGGCTCTGTCGCCACTGCCCTCACCACCTCCAAAATCAGGTATTTATACCCATTGATAAGATACCCCCAAGCCTTTTCTCCAGGCTATACAATCCTAGCTCCCTCAGCCTCTCCTTGCACAACAAATGCTCCAACCCTTTAATCACGTTCATGATCCTTCACTTGACTCCCTCCAGTATGTCCCTATCTCTCTCGTACTGGGGTGCCCAGGACTGGACACAGGACTCCAGGTGTCGTATCACCAGTGCTGAATAGAGAGGGATAATCATCTCCCTTGACCCACTGGCAATGCTCTGCATAACACAGCCTGGGATGCTGCTGTATGATGTCTTTCCTGCAAGGGTGCATTGCTGTCCAATGTCCAACTTCCGTCCACCAGGATTCCCAAGTTCTTTTCTGCAAAACTGCTCTCCAGCTGATCAGTCCCCTGGCTGTACTGATGGATGGAGTTACTCCTTCGCAGGTGCAGGGCTGTGGAAACTGCACTTTTTGTCCCCTTATTTTTCAAAGTTCAGGACAAAAGAGGACATTAACTATTTTCCAGATCTGGCCGTTGTTTCAACTGCCATCGAGAAGCAATGCTCTCTCAAGGCCTAACACTACCCCTACTGATAAAAAAGGTTTATCTACAATGGAAAAGAAAAAAGTCTCTCCAAGGCTTGTACACACTGGAATTCTGAAAGACTTGACATAAAACTGTAAATACTTTTTGTGATATACGAATCAGTAACACTAACAGACCACTATGGAGCAATAATCAATATATGAGCTTTAGGCAGTCATAGCAAAATTAAGGAAAAAAACCAAAGATAAAATATATGTCTATATTGAAGAAAGAAGTGAGCTAATTTAAAAAAACAAAAATAATAATTAGAAGACTACACAATAAATCTCAACAACTCTTATTACGTGCACATCCATTTTCATTTGTAGAGAACTACTCAGAATTTATAGGTCCTTTACACTAAACAAAACCTCAAACGTATCTCATGTAATATTATCCAACGCTATAGGCTTCGGGGTGTCGGTTGACAGCCGCCTGAACGTGAGCCAACAGTGTGCCCAGGTGGCCAAGGCCAATAGTACCCTGGCTTGTATCAGGAATAGTGTGGCCAGCAGGAGCAGGGCAGGGATCGTCCCCCTGTGCTGGGCACTGGGGAAGCCGCCCCTTGAATGCTGTGCTCAGCGCTGGGCCCCTCACCCCAAGAAGGCCATGGAGGGGCTGGAGCGTGGCCAGAGCAGGGCAGCGAGGCTGGGGCAGGGGCTGGAGCACAAGGCTGGGGAGGAGCGGCTGGGGGAGCTGGGGGTGCTCAGCCTGGAGAAGAGGAGGCTGAGGGGAGCCCTCATCGCTCTCTGCAACGGCCTGAAAGGAGGCCAGGGGGGGAGTTGGTCTCTTCTCCCCAGGAACAAGCGATAGGACTAGAGGAAATGCCCTCAAGTTGAGACAGGGAAGGTTTAGGCTGGATATCAGGAAAAATTTCTTCACTGAAAGGGCTGTCAGGCCCTGGCCCAGGCTGCCCAGGGCAGGGGTTGAGTCCCCACCCCTGGGAGTATTTAAAAGCCGGGGAGATGTGGTGCTTAGGGACATGGTTTAGTGGTGGACTTGGCAGTGCTGGGTTAACAGTTGGACTTGATGATCTTGAAGGTCTTTTTTAACCTAAACAATTCTATGATCTAAATATAATATTATAGATTTTATTCATAATAACATATAATAAGCTCATATAATCATTATATCAGGAGTAGACTGAGTATATGGACAAGATACTCCAATACAGCTTTTTTTTTTAGGTTCACTAGCTATAAATCGAAAGCTCATGTTGTTATCAATACTCCAAAATCAGAGCAACAAATTTCCATGAGGTGGCAGGTTATCACATTAGGAGAAATTGATTGGTTTTAGAGGGACTGGACTGACCTGCTGAAGTGGAATCTCATGATAAAAAAAGAGGCAAATTAGGGGGCTTCGCCACCCTAGGGACATGAACTTACTTTATTATAGAAATTAAATGTATGTAGAGAGTCATCACTAAGGAACTGACACAGAGAAAGTTCAAGTTTCTCAATATTCTCCTACTGAAATAATAAACAGGATTTAAAAGGTGGAAAATAATATAAAATTCAAAACACAGCCTTAACATTTAGGAAGCATTTACCTTATTTCATTTATTTGTCTAACAACCTCTTCTTGAGTTTTCACAACTGTCTCAATCTCTTGCTGGGAAACCTGGCGGGGAGTGGGGGAGGGAGAGAAAAAGATCAACATATCTTGGAAAAAGCAAATCGATCATGCTGCTGAAATTAGGCTGAGCTACCAATCACGGTGGATTTGGTGGGGTTTTTTTTATTTACCTGTCCTTGTTGACCTGGAAAACCAGCTCCTCTTTTAGCAATCTCATCTGTGACTGCAGAGACGTATCTCCTCTGCTCATCCAGAATCATGTCCAATTGTCTATTAAGCTGTTTGATTTCAAGATGAATTCGATTCTGCCCCTCAAAGATTTGCCTCAGTTCACGATCGCTTACAGTTTCAAAGAGATCATCCGCTGATAAGGAAAAAGCACAGGTAGTTCTTACATAGAAGCATTCCTTGTAAGTTGCATTGTATCACTTCCCTTGCACCCTTAAAGTTTCTACTGGATATACTTTTCTCCCATAATTTTATACATTTGGCATTTATTTATCACCATTGCCACGGCAAAGGCTACCCAAATGGGATCAGAACAACTGAATAGAGACAACCACACGTTCAAACCGAGACTCCATCTTAGACTTCCTATTTCAATACTTGGGTAATGTACAACATAAAATAGAAACAGGACGCTGTTGTTATTAGGAGGCAGCTATGTTTGCATAAGCTAGCATTGTATTACCAACGAGCCTTCAGAAGATATTTGCAGGTATTAAATAACAGCTACTTTTTAGAAAAAGTAAGCTTTAAAAAGTAGCTTGAAATAGAGAAGTGACTGCACATTTTGAGTGAGTTCCTCTGCAGCTTCGACAACATCAGAAAGAAGAAAGTCCAAAAGACTCTGTGGCAAAAAGATTATTTCTTATCAGTGGAAGGCTGGACAATATTTCAAAAACACAGATGAAGTTAAAATGGTGTAGGACCTTTAGAACAGTCGTAACTTATCACTGTGCAAAAAAAGATGACAACCTGAAATTTCAGGTCTAGATGCCTACAGTACATTCCTGATACGTGTGCGTTCAAATACAGCTAATTCAATCCACAAAACTAAGAAATAGACTGGCTTCCATTATATTTTCAAATAAGCAGATTCTTTTTTGTTCAGCTCTAAAAAAAAATTTTTTAAAAACTCAACCCAGCGAACAAACAAAACCCCCACCATGTTCCATAGCAGAACAATCAAAGTCAAAGCACTTTGGCTAAACACTCAAAAAAGTGGGCAAGAGTCATTATTATAATTTTCCTAAATTAACTATCATTTGAAATCAGTGGAAAAATGCTGTTCAGTCTGAAATATCTTTAAACCAATGCTTGCTGAGAGCTGCAGATGAGTGGTATCGATAGTGGAAAGGGCAATTCTGCCTTACCCAGTCAAATTTCTTATCAATAACTTAAAATGTAAATAAAGGCCACAGTTGTTAACAACATCAAGCTGGAAATTTGGTTATTAGTCAACCCAAATACCAACGCTGAATGCCTGCTAATGCTGTGGTGCCGAAATTGACAGAACTCCACACACATCCAGTATTAGCCAAGCATTAAAAAGCTTTTCCAAGTAAGCACATGTTCCAGCACATCCACTAGCCCATCTTTAATAACCATCCATAAAACAAGATGGGGGGAAAAAAAAAAATGTTTGTTATGAATGTGCAGAAACAGACCAAGAAGATGACCTTTCAAATATATTTTCAAATAACCAAAAAGGCCATGCTTCCTTAATCATCACTTTACAGAGGGATCCATGACCTTCTCTCCCTTCTACTGTTCCATACAGATTCTCATCGTTCCCATCATGTTTCCGTTCATTTTGTTCTCAAGCCAGGCATCACAAAAGGGACTTTATAAGGGACTTTATATTTCAGAAAACACTTTACAAACAAAAGATGGAAGATTCTTAAATAAAGTAAATAACATCAGTAGGAGCTTAGTAAGATCAGTCAGAGTATCAGGCCCTAGTTCTGAATATGCCAGAAAGCAAACGTTTTCCTTGACAACCAAAAAATTGCTTAAATAACTTGCCTGGCTGTCCTTGCACATCAGGATGTTCCTTTTGAAATTCTTCTTTCTTTTTATCCAATTCTTGTTGAAAGTGTTCAAACTCTTCTTGATACTTCTCTTTATCTTTTTGAGGAATTTCTGCATCTGGTGTTGGCTTTAAAACATTATCAAAGCATGGGGGGGAGACGACACACACACAGGGGGAGAGAGGTTTTTTTCATGTTCTCTACCACTCCTATACAACTTAATCGCCAGCAAGGCTGTTCAGATTTCAGATTTGAAGACATATCACAATTAGTGGAGCACATTAATATATTAAGTTGAAGTGAGAAACCCGACATTCCTATGGAGACCCACAGCTTTCTCCCGATACATGCGTACTTTCTGTGATTAAAAAGAAATCAAGTTTTACAAGGATAGATGCTGTTACTTCTAGTGTTCTAGAGGTATGGGAAGTTGAAAGCAAGAACAGATTATTTGTCCACTTTCCAAACAAAGTGTACTTTTTAGTTTGTTTTCTCTGCATGTTTTGATCTAACATCAGGATTTTTGTTGATTCAGTGTTGCTTCAAGAATTCTGGTCTTGAAAATGTTAATTAAAATATTACCGAAACATTACAGTATTAGTCTAATTTTTCTAAAACAGATGACAGTACAGCTACCTGCCAAAACCCTGAAACAGGGATGCCAAATACGATTTCAGAGGAAATGCCATAATCTGGTGCTACATATAATACATATACAATAACATACTTTACTAATTATGCATAAAGATGCTTACTAGTTCCTTCCCAGGCTCAGTCAACTGGAAGGTCAGAAAAGACAGGACATCGTGATCATCTGTATTCAACAAACAAAACAAAAAACCACTGTTAATTGCTACTGCTACACATTACAAATCCTGGTATTTCCCAAGTCAACCTTGCACTTGCAAAGGATCTTCAGGCAACAGCATCCTCCCGAAGTCCTCCCAAGAGTTTAGGCAGTAGGAAATGAGACTGCACATTGTCTTTGTCAGGACAAACTGAAAGTCCTTCTGCTCTAGCCAGGAAAAGGCCTAAGCATATAAAGTAATTTGGGAATAGGAGAGGACTAATTACATTATCATGGTCAAAAAGTGGTATAATGGATCAACACTATCAGTAAAAAACAAAACAAAACAAAAAAACACCACACACTCTTGCAAACCCTGCAAGGCCCCACACAATTTGTCACAATTTCTAACATTTGCTACCTGCAAGACCCCCTGTTGCTGCAGATATTCCAAAATATCCTTGTGATGGCAACACCATATCTTCCACTTTCACACAAAATTCATAGTCTTCTTTATCCGGAGTGAAGCCATTGTTAATTAATACCTAAAAGGATAAACACTTGCAATTTTTACCACATAAAGCTATTTGTGTTAATTGCTTTGTCAGTTTACAGCAATAGTAACAAATACAACTTAGCAGGTAATTCAGCAGCTGATACTAGAAACGAAAACCTATTTCTTTTCTGAAAGACACTTTTTACAAAGAAAATGCATAAGCTTTCTATTTTAAAAAGGAAGAAAAGGCCTGATTCAAAGTTCAGCATGAACAAAATTCAACATTTTCTATTCATCACCTAAGAGGACATACCACATAGAATTCAGACACACATAAAAATGTATTCATTTCAGTTATAAGAAGCAGCCAGACAAATTAGTGCATGGAAAGGAACACATGGGGGGAAGAGATACCATCAGGAGAGATCAAGGTAAGCCAAGGGATGGCACGGCACCACCTGAGGATGCTAATGGGAGCATTTACGCTGCTCCAGGGAGCACTGAGGGTTTAGGAGCACATCTGAAATGCTTGTACACCAACACACACAGTAAAAGAAACAAAACAGGATGAACTGGAAGCATTGGTCCGTTCCCAGAGCTATGTCGTCACTGGTATCAGTGAGACTTGGTCAAATGAGTCCCACAATTGGAGTGCTGGGATGGAGGGCTATAGGCTGTTGAGGAGGAATAGGCAGGGCAGGCAAGGTGGAGGCATCGCACTGTATGTAATGGAAAGGTTTGACTGTACAGCCCTTACAGTTAGAGATGATGTCGTTGAGAGCCTCTGGGTGAGGATTAGGGGGATGGAAAACAAAGCAGATGTCGTTGTGGGCATCCACTATTGATCACCCAGCCAGGATGACAGCACTGATGAGTTATTCTCTCTGGATGAGTTATTATCTCTGGATCAGTAGTCCTTGTCTTTATGGGAGATTTCAACTTTCCAGACATCAACTGGGAATACCATACTGCTGTGACAAGCAAGTCTGGGAAATTTCTGAAGATGAAGATAATTTCTCAGCACAAGTACTCAGTGAGCCAACTTAGGAAAGATTTCCTCCTAAACGTGTTTGTGAATAGAGGAGGACTTGTGGGAGGTGTGATGGTAGGTGGTTGTTTTGGCCACAGTGATCACAAAATGGTAGATTTAAAAATTCTTGGTGTAATGAGGAAAAAAAAGGTCAGCAGAGTTGCTACCCTGGATTTCAAGAAAGCAAACTTTAAGCTAGTTACCAGTGTTCCCCGAGAAACTGCTTTTGAGGGCTTAGGGGTCCACGAGTGTTGGTCAGTTTTTAAGAACCACTTTTTTAGGAGAACCTTGCATAGGAGCAGGCAACCTCATTGTGTCAAAAGTCAAGCAAGCAGGGCAGACAACCAGCTTGGCTGAACAGGGAACTCCTCTTGGAACTCAAGAGGAAAAAGAACTGTGTGATCTCTGGAAGCAAGGTCAGGCTTCGCAGGAAGATTACAGAGCTGTGGTTCACATATGCAGGGAGAAGACACAAAAGGCCAAAGCTCAACAAGAGCTGAAACCAGCCAGTGTTGTGTCCGACAACAAAAAGTATTAACATACTTTTTTTAAGTATGTTAATAGCAAGAGGAGGTCCAAGGAAAACATTGGACCAACACTTGTTGAAGATGGTCACCTGACAAATAGGGATGAAGAAAAGACAGAGGCATTCAACTCTTTTCTTGCCTTAGTCTGTACTAATACTGATAGACCTTGGGCTGCCCAGTTGTCTGAGCTGGAAGACCACGGCTGTGGGAGCAGTGACTTCCCATTTGTGGACACTGAAGTTTTAAGGGACCAGCTCTATCAGCTGAATGTTCACAAGCCCATGGGCCCGGATGGGATTCATCCCAGAGTACTGAAGGAGCTAGTGGACATTACAGCAGGACCCCTCTCAATCATCTACCAAAGGTCTTGGGAGTCTGGGGAGGTCCCCACTGACTGGAAGCTAGCCAACATTATTCCAATTTACAAGAAGAGCATGAGGGAAGATCCAGGAAACTATGGACCTGTTAGTCTAACCTCAGTGCCTGGAAAAATGATGGAGAAGATCATACTGGGTGCTCCTGAAAGGCATCTAAAGAACAATGCAATCATCACACACAGTCAACATGGGTTCACAAAGGGAAAGCCCTGTCTAACTAATTTGATATCCTACCATAAGGTCATCCACCTAGTGGATGAAGGGAAGATGGTGGACGTAGTTCTTCTGGATTTCAGTAAGGCTTTTGATACTGTCCCTCACAGCATCCTCCTGAACAAGCTGTCCAACTGTGAGATGAGCAGGTTCACAGCGCACTGGGTGAAGAACTGCCTGAATGGCAGGGCTCAAAGGGCTGCAGTGAACGCGGCTACATCTGGCTGGCGACCGGTCACCAGTGGCGTTCCTCAGGGCTCAATCCTAAGGCCAGTGCCATTCACCACTTTTATCAATGATCTGCATGCAGCAGTTGAACGCACCCTTAGTAAGTTTGCTGACGATGCTAAACCATGAGGTGCCGTTGACCCAAGGGACAAGAGGCCTTGCAGAGGGACCTAGATAGACTGGAGCATTGGGCAATCATCAACAGCATGAAATTAGACAAGAACAAATGTTGGATTCTGCACCTGGGACGAAGTAATGCTGGACACAAGTATAAATTGGGAAAGGAGTGGCTGGAAAGCAGCCCTGCAGAAAGGGATCTGGGGGTGCTGGTTGATGGTAGGCTCGATATGAGTCAGCACTGTGCCCTGGCAGCCCAGAGGGCAAACCGCATCCTGGGGTGCATTAAACATAGTATAACCAGCCAGTCAAGAGAGGTGATTATCCCACTGTATTTAGTGTTGGTGCAGCCTCACCCTGAGTACTGTGGGCCCCACAATTTTAAAAAGGATGTTAAGGTACTCGAATGCCAAGAAGGGCAACAAAGCTGGTGACAGGGCTGGAAGGCATGTCCTCTGAGGAGCAGCTGAGGACTCCCGGTTTGTTTCATTTGGAGAAAAGGAGGCTGAGGGGTGACCTCATGGCTCTCTGCAGCTTCCTGAGGAGGGGACGTGGGGAGGGAAGTGCTGATCTCTTCTTCCTGGGATTCAGTGATAGGACGTGGGGGAATGGTTCAAAGCTGCACCAGGGGAGGTTTAGACTGGACATGAAGCATTTCTTTACCAAGAGTGTGGTCAAACACTGGAAGAGGCTTCCTAGAGAGGTGGTCGATGCCCCATGGCTGTCAGTGTTTAAGAGGCATTTGGACAATGCCTTTAATAGTATGTTTTAACATTTGGTCAGGCCTGAAGTGGCCAAGCGGTTGGACTAGATGATCGTTGTAGGTCCCTTCCAAATGGAATTATTCTAGTCTATTATAAAACTGATCATGGCGTAATAATATCACCTCTGGTTCAAGAAATCTCTGACTCAGGGATCATTAAAGGACAGTCTATCAAAAGTACACATCCCGATAAGGTTCTGGGCAACACAAATTTCTGGTCTGATCTAGAAGGGTCATCCCTTACTGTTCTTAGGTTGATTCTAAGCTTAGAGAGATTCTCTCTTCCTCCACAGATGCATTTGCAGAACTTCTAAGATTAGCAGCAACATTTGGGCCAGAAGAGTTCCTAGATAAGGCATCAGGGACCAGGCGCATTAAAAAAGAGAGCAGCCTTGGAGTCTGAAATTTAATTTTCATTCAAGAGTTACAGACAGCTTTTACTATTACAACACAGTACAAGGTCCACCCCCTTTTAGGTGCATTCATGTTTACTTTTAGAGAAACTTTTACTACAAAATGACAGCTGTGTGTTTTATGGCTAATACCGACGAGTAGCACCTTTTCAGAAGAAATCAGAAGCCAAGAAACACACACTCATAGCTGTTGCAACCTGACACCACATTAGTATCTTTCTCTCCTGCTTGATAAGGAATTCACAGTCATCTGAATAGTATTTAAGAAGTCTTGAAGACTCCCTTATACCAGTAGTTTTCTATTGCCTTTAATCTTCAAAGCCTCACTATTTCTTGGAGGTGGGAAGCCTGAAGTAGCAAATTGAAATCTACTGTCAAAGAGCGAGCTTCGGTTTTTTAGTGACATTTCAAGAACCTCTTACAATCAGCTACAAAACCCTCTGCAGCTCTCAGATCAGCTTGAGAAATACTGTTCAAATTAAGGAGCTGCTCAAGCACTTGGAAGCTGAGGAACAGATGGTGGCTTTGGGACACCTCTACAGGCAAGTCAAAGACAACAGAAGGGTCTGAGCACGTAAGAGTACGTTAGCATGACTAACTCCTAAGTAATAACAGAAAAATCAGCAGTACCTGCTGAGTCAGCTCAGGAGACTACAGATGCACTAATGTAGCTAAAAACTTGTCTAGCGCTTGAACATACTGCACCTCCTTTCAACTTCTGCTACCAAGATCAACATTTTCAAGAATACTGGAATTAACATATGGGGTCTTTGGGTGTTCAAATAGTTGCAACAATCTCACACTTAAAAAGCTAAGAAATGTGAGTAATTATGTTATTTCAGAGTACTTACAGTCAATGTTTTTTGGTAGTATGTTATCTTTACTCGAACAGGGTAGGGCTTGTTACGAAAGTCCCTCTGACAGGACGCCAATGCTTGCGTGGAACCATCACTATGCAAGAAGACAACTTGCATCAAACTATATCTTATGATTTATCAGTTAAGACAAAAAAGCATCAATGTATCACTAAGCAACATCATGATAGTTTTTCAATATGCAAGTTTTTCAAAAGCTGCCACACAACTGTACTGAGCTTTTCTGAAGTCTGGGATCAACAGTACTAGGTGCTTTACACAGGACACAACATAGACAGAATGCAGTAATGGGGAAATCCATCTGCTTCTAAGATATACTCCTGCAGCTGTGAACCGAGATGGAAATAAGCTATAGTCGGGACTGCACCAACTAAGCTAGACACCTCTCTTGTCAGAGAATCCAAAAAGATGTCGATTGTGCTGTTGACAATAAACAATCAGAAATCAAAATTAAACCAATTAATTTAATAGCAGGCAATTAGCTTTCAGTTAGTCACTTTTGTCAGTTATTAGCTGTGTGTGGACGATATCCATCAGCAATGAAGAGGTAAAAAAGTCTGTACCTCCGTATCTGAGTTCACCCATCCCAAAGGACATATTCCATTTAAATATCAGTCAGTTGCCAATTTCTGTGTTGTTACTGCCAAAACAGTGTTTTAACAAACAGAAAACCTCAAATGTAAAGGAAACAACAAAGTTTCATATGAAAGAAACCTTTATGTTTCTCAAAGAGTTTCGCGCAACATTTCATCATTCAAAAGCAAACATTTGTCATTAACGCTGAAAATAAACTTACTTCTGATGGTCATACAGAAGTTTTCCATTGTTGCCTACAACAATCACTCCAGGATTGTTTTTCTAGAAAAAGAAATAGCAAACAAACAGAATAGTTTAATTCGAAGTGAAACATAGGCTATCAGTGATGTTACTTTTCTGCAATAAAGCACCTAGAGTCATTACACTACAGATACACCACAGGTGGTTTTATTCTTTCTGTACTTCAGGATTACCTAAGCAAAATGACTGAGTAGCACTGTGTCATGCTGCATGCTTTGCAAGAGACTGCTACATTCTTTGCATAGTTAGGGGTAAAAAAACCCCACACAAATTAAGTTCCTGGATATACTACCAATTACCATCTTTTCACATACACAGAAATATAAAAGCCACAGATACGACAAATTCATATGTAGTGAAGACAGAGATTTTAAAACTAACAGATGACTTAGTACATCCAACTTTGGCTACATAACACTGGGAAAAACATCCAAACAGACACTACGTTGACATCCTACTACTCTTGTCACAGTCATTAGAAAAACCTCAGGAGCTATCTGTCAGAGACTAAACAAAGTCTACTGAACACATCCCCAGTTATTTAAATTGCTAGGGGACGAGAACAAGCTAAAACGATAATGGCAGAACAGATCTACAGTGCTATTCCGGTTGCCTCCAGGAGTTTATGAAGTGAACTCCAGTTTTTACAAAAGCACAAGATTTCAGAGTTAATCTTCCCTCCCCCTTCAACATTTCAATGCACCATCTCCTAAAGTGTACTGGTTTTGGCTGGGATAGAGTTAAATTTCTTCGTAGTAGCTTGTATGGGGCTATGTTTTTGATTTATGATGAGAACAGTGTTGATAACTCAGGGATGTTTTAGTTATTGCTTACACAGCCTCAAGGCCTTTTCTGCTTCTCACAGTCACCCACCAGTGAGCAGGCTGGAGGGCACAAGGAGTTCTGGGACAGCTGACCCCAACTGACCCAAGGATACCCCAGATCATATGGCATCACGCTCAGCAACAAAAGCTGGGGCAAGGAGGAATGGGGGGCATTCAGAGTTATGGCATTTGTCTTCCCAAGTCATCGCTGTGCATGATGGAGCCCTGCTTGCCTGCAGATGGCTGAACACCTGCCTGCTGATGGGAAGGAGTGAATTAATTCCTTGGTTTGCTTTGCTTGAGCACGCAGCTTTTGGTTTACCTATTAAACTGTCTTTATGTCAACCCATGAGTTTTCTCACTTTTACCCTTCCGATTCTCTCCCCCACCCCAACATGGGGGAGTGAGCAAGCGACTGTGTGATGCTTAGCTGCCTACTGGGATTAAACCATAACATAAAGGAATATGCTGTCCCACTAGACAGATTACCAGCTCTTAAGAAAAGAAAACAAGACTCAAATTTCAAGAATTCACAAAATAATGTCCTTCTCAATTCACAGTGGTGGGGTAGGGTGGTCCTTTGTCTTAAAAAAAAAACCAAACAACACTAAAACCAAACTATCTGTTTCCTTTCCTTCATCACACAGCTTGCAACAACAAAACAGTCCACTGGTATACAGAAATACACCAGTGTTTCTACTTCTCAGCAATGGAGTTTGGTCAGCTTAATTGCTTCAACATCAGTATTACCAGCTCAGTACCACTGGAATACTTTAATGTCATCTTCTTACTGTTTATTTCACTTTAACAACAGCAATATTGAATTAGTTCATAGCATACTTGCATATATTCTGCACAAAGCGTGTACAAACAGTTAAATTTCAAAGCACACGTGAATGCAACCCAAGTCTAATCTATTTTAGAGTACAGTAGACAGCTACTAACAAAAGTATTCAATGCTAATGGTCGATGGGCAGTCCAATTTCTGCTGGGGATCTTGTCTGGATGCAAGCACACTCAAAAACTTGAAAGATAGTGGGGAATAACTTCTCAATTTTTTGTCTCCAAAGGTCAGGAGGAAGATGTGCTGTAAGCTCTTGCGACATTTGGTGTGGTTCAGGTGTTCAGGGCCATGAAATTTATTTCTCTTTTTAAAAAGCTCGTCACTACTTCCACAGAGAAATAAAAATTCAACTCTATTATAACCTACAGCCTTAGAAGGAGGAGAAAAAAGGCTTTGCAGTTTTTAAATCAAGGTGCTTTTGAGTTGGCAGTACTAGATGAAGTCGACTTCTGGATGCTAGCATATTAGGCTGAGGAACAGTTACAGCACAACATCTTCCAGTGAACACACTAAAACAGCACCAAGAAGAATTTCTCCATACTAGGACTGAAGAAAGTAACAGGTTGTCATTAAAAAAAGTCTTACAAACTCCAGTATTTAAGACATGTCAGACCAATAAAGGCATGACGAAGACTTTTGTTTTGACTAGAAGTGACACATCATCACTTTCTAAAAAAAGGGTTTCACACCACAAAGTTCTGGCAAACAGTGTTGTGCACGTGCAATTTTTGATAGATGGCATCTTCAGCCAGCTAAACTACACCAGTGTCCATATTCATGCCAGAAGTCAGAAAAAAAAGGGGGGGAAAAAAAAGGATTTAAAAGTTCTTAAGAAGTTGAGCAATACTCTAATTCTATGCCTTGTCTTTGAAGATCAGAAACATAAACGTCACCTTCAGTCTTTCAACTTTTATACATGATGAACTTTGCTGTGTATCAAAAGCCATCTGTAGGAAAAAAAAACCTTGTACACCTACAAAAATATATCTAAAACATCTAAAAGCAAGCCAAAGTAGTGCAGGAAAAGCAAAAAAAGCAAAGCAGACCCACTATGCATTGTTAAAGTTTCCCAGGATCATTCTGGACTGGAAAACGGGAAATTCAAAACAGCAACTGTCACCCGCATCTGCTACAGAATTCTTGCTGCCAAACTGCTCAAGGCAGATTTGTTGCAAGAAAAAGAGCACCTCTGAAGGGAGACATAGAAATTTGTGTTTCCACAGTATCATACTGTGGTACAATATGCCTCTTCCAAAGCACACATCTTGAGATATATCAACATTTCAAATTGTGCATGGACATTCCAAATTTTAGCTTGTACATATGTACATGGCATTTTCCCTCCAAACCTAACACATGAACCAATGTTCAGTGGAGATTCATTGTGTGTTATGCTTCAAATTTCAAGCTTAAAAAGAAAAAAAAAATGCGTGAAAGTCTAGTAAAAAAATCTATAAGGGGAACTTGACTATTTTAATTTATTCCTTTGAAGTGAAGGGGGAGAGAGTAGGAAAATAACATTCTATTTTTTTCCACAAAGTTATATGTACAAAACAGGCAGGAAATTAATTAATAATCTTTGCTAGAAGAGTTTGCTTCTGACTAACCTTTCCATCATTGTCAAACGAATCAAAGAAAATTCCAACACCATTCCATTTATCAGCTGCCCCAAAAACAGGACCTTCCAAGCCTTGCTCTTCTGTAAACCAGATGGCCTATTACAGGAAGCACATAAGAGTCATAAGTCAAGATTCACCATTTAAAGCACAACTATTTTTTTTTCCAGTTAGATCAAATTCTTAATACCAATCCATCAGCTCCAATGCGGCCTCTTCCTGTAACTCGAAAGGTCACTTCAACTTCCCAATATTCAAATACTGACTTGTTTTTTGTCCACACTGATCCTCTTTGGCTTTTCAAAGATGTTGTTATACGAATCTGATCTGCACTTGGTATGGCATCTAGAAGGGAAAGGAACCAACACTGAGTATATGGAAGAAAAAGTATTGCAAGTGCTTAACCAGCCAATTAACAAATCCTCTGAATTCACAAAATTTTCTGGTCTCCTCAACTAGAGAACAGTTTTCAAGATAACTTTTTAGCGGAGTACTCAACCTCTTGAGAGGGGAAGAAACAAACCAAACCCCCACACCTCTACTTTCAACAACTTGATTACTAGTGCGTTACAGAAGACTGAATCACCTTCCATTTGGGACCACAACACACAACTAAAATAGAACCCTGGTCTTGCTGTTAAGGCAAGTACTAAATTAATTAAAAATCAGGTTTAGGTTTCTGCTGTATCCCACATGACTTTTCACAAATCACAGATTTCTGTTCTGCTTTTTAAAAACAGATGTTCTGATTTTCTGGCTTAGTAGTTGAAAAGAATAGGCATATATTTAGAAAGACAGATTCATTCACTTGTATTAAATAATAAACATTTATTTTTGTGATTATCTGTGTAAAAAAAGCTCATCTACAGATAGTTTCCTTCATGTCACTTGTAGCATAATGTCAAATAAGAGTCAAAAATTAACACTCATGAATTAACCAAAATAAACCAAATTAAAGTCTGCCAAAAAATAAAAACACAGCAGAAGCTACTGCAGAGGAACTATATTAAGGCAGACCCTTACGTACAGTAAATACCCACACATCTCTCGAGGCGGGGGGACTTACAGCAGACTAGATGCCTACGATCAAACCCTTAACCCGTACTGCAGAAGATACATGAACTGCATACGCTACGTTCAATAAAGTCGCATTTGCCAAGGCACAGTTTCCACCTCAAGCTCCTGTAATGTGCAACGCCCGGGGACTCCTCGCCGCACAGGGGCACAGGGCCCGCCGCAGCCGCGCCGCAGAGGCGCGAGGCCGACGCTCGCTCCGGCCGAGGCACACGGCACCACAGCGCGGGGCTCCGTGCCGCCCGCAGTCCCCTCCTCGCGGCAACAGCGCTACCGCAGCGCACGCAAGGCCGCGGGGAACTCGGAGCGGGTGCCACAGAGCCGGGGGAGGACCCGCACACGCTCCG